ACCACCACCACCACCACCACCACCAATAATGTCTCCCCAGCAGAGGCTAAAACAACCTGAAGACTTCAAAATTAAGGGTTGCATTTTACACAAGGGTTAGATATTTTAAATGCTTTTTAAGCTCAAAAAATGGTGGTTGCAATATTAATAAATAAAAACGTAATTTTGAAATTGATGTCTGTAACGCATCTCAAACGTGTTGTTAAAGAGGTGCAGAGGTTCACTAGTAAAACCCTTCAAACAGGTGAAAACATCTAGTTTAGGTTAATGATGGCCTCTCTGATTCTGCAGTTGAAGCAGCAGCACAAGGAGCATTCTGAGCAGCGATTGGCTATCGAGGAGCTGGAACGCAGCATCCGATTGGCTGAAGAGGGCTGTCCCGGCATCACAGACAGGATGGTCACGCACATCATAGCCAGGTACCAAAAGTACGTTTATCTTTACTATTAAACATATTTATCCCCTTCTTGGCTTTTTTCTTCTCCTTTTTTTAATCACTTTTCACTCGACATGAAAACCTGTGAACTTTGACGTTTTAAAAGAGAATTTATCATGTTTTAAATCCCTACAGTGTAACGTTAGCTGCAGCAGGTTTGGTCACAAACTCATTTAAAACACGACAAGCTCCGGTTTCACTGCTGAAGAATGGACTCTGCACGTTTTATTCAATCATTTGGTTGTTGATGGGAAAAATCGGTTCTGGGCAAACAGCTTCCTTACAGCTTTATTCTTGCTGTATTTCCTGTTTCCACCTGACAGTAATATTTCTCTGGGCTGCAGGTATTTAAGAGTAGTTGGAGATCGGCGTTGACAGAGGGGTCTTCAGAATGTCAAAATATTTGTCTGGGTTTTCATTTTCTCACAGGCTTTTTTTTTGTCACTTCAGTAGAAAACGAAACCAAATATTAGTTTATTTAGTTTATTTCTTCATCATCAGTGACTTTTTTCTTTTTTTTAAGTGAAGAGAAAATAGAGACAGAGAGAAAAACAGAGAGAGAAGTAATTAGAAAGATAGAAAGATTGAAATAGCGATTAGAAGTATATTAAATAGGGCTGTGTATTGGCAAGAATTTGGCGATACGATACATATCATGACAGAGGGGTCACGATACGATATATCCCGATAT